AGCTCTTCTGCATAGCATGATGTATATGTCCCAAATCATAGATCCATTCCCATTTCTGTGGTCCCATCTGGAATTGTGGTGTATGGGTGTGCCACCAACCTTTGTTCTCCCATATCCTTCATAAGCCTCCGATTCTCTGTAGACCCTTGATGCTTCTAGGATCTTGTGCTATGGCTCCTGTCACCTGTATGCTGTTCTTTGTCTTTATCTTGCCTTTTCTTCTTTAAGATTTAATAAATGTTCTTCTTAAATTATATTTGAGATTTGTGGTCTCTTTTGCACCCTAAAACAAATGACATATTGCACTGTGGGCAAATCTGCCACCAGAGAACTCTTCAAAGATGTCAGTTGCAGACCTTAAGTGCCCTTGACCCATGTCATGGTGTTTTGAATGACCTCATATGCATGCAAGGGCTCAACAAAGAAGACCTAGAGAAGAATTGATGTCTTTGAAGGTCAGTATCAGAGATAAAAATTCAATAGATAGAATGAACAAACGAGTCCTCGAAGAGAGAATGCTTCTTAGAAGTGAGAATGGTGACACTTTGTGTCATGTAGAAGGTCACAGTGGATTTAACATTGAGTGGCTGACCAAAAAGGCTGGCAGTTTGAATTCGACAGCTGTTGCGTGGGAGAAAAACTTTTAACCAGTTCTAACGAGTTTCATCATTGCTAATGAAGTGAAGCCAGTGTGAACCTGAGTTTTTAACATTTAGGTGAGCTAGAAGGTTACACAGAACAGGAAGAAACATGGGTCAAAAATTCAAGAAAGGGACTTACAGAGGGGGCATAATGAACCCTTTCAGTACCCTGACGTGTGAGATTGGATGGTTGGCAGGTCTGTGGGTAGCGACATGCTTTCAGAGGATGGCAGGAGGCTGCCTGCCTTCTCTGAATAGGGCTGTTTTTTACTCTGCTCAACATCTTACAGGCAAGATATTTTACTGTTATGTAACACATATGCTGCACTTGTTTTCTAAGAGGGAGATTAAGTTTTAAGCAGAGTTTTGGTCCATATTTTTTCCTTGCTTACCCACATTTTGAAAATCCAGGTCTTTTTTGGTACTGCTTGTTCAGCCATTACTGAATTGGGAAAAACCCGTTCAAAGACCTGCTATTGAGGCTGAAATCATGCATAAGTTTAACTGTGTGTAAACTGGCATGGCAAATAAGAAAATTTCTTTGGTTATTGTTCTCAATACTAAATTTATAGAAGGATGGACTTTTAGTATAAATCAGGCTATTAAACCCACTTACCAGATTAACATTTAGGGATAAATGCAATAATATGCCAGGAGGTTATATTGAAGTAGTTCTTGGGCTTGTAATAGTAATTCATCATTTTTTTAACACTTAGAAATTAAACTTGAGAATTCATTTTACATTTACAAATATTTTTGGATAAACTTCTAATTTAGGGACTATTTTATTAAACATCTATTTTAGGGACTTGAATTGGAATCATGCCATGATTTGTGGTTATTGATACATACAATAAAATAAATTCCTTGTAGTCTCTTTTCTTTCTTCTTCTAACCACGAAGGACCAATATGTGAGAAAAGATTAACATAAATTGTGGTAAAATTAATACGTGCTGTGTATTTTTTAAAAACCTATGGCAAATGTATATGAACAAAAAAGTTTCCATTTCAACATTCTTTCCTGTATAATCTTGTGCCAGTAGCTATGCTTGTCATGTGGTTCCACCATCACCATTACCTATTATGAAATTTTTCCATCACCTTGTGGTTGTAGTTTTTAATAGTTACAAGGATAGATGATGCCATATGGCTCTCTTGTTTACTGGTATAATTTTGAAGTTAATTAAACTACTTTTGCCCTATAGAAGAAATGTTAGTTACTTCAGTAAGGAAATGAATTCCTATACACTATGGGAATAAATTCTAGTAGTTCTTTCTGGCATAAATCCAAAGGAAAGTGAAAGTTTACTGAATTCATTAATTTGCTCAATCATTAAACAAATGTTACTTGAATACCTACCCGGTGTGAGTCTTGTGCGAGGCCTTGCAGGTAACATAAAGATGAATAAAACATGTTTCTGCCCTGGGGGCATTCACAGTCATGGTCCAGTGAAGGATAATAG